TTATCAGTACTCGTTAGCTTACTGCTACAATTAGACACTGCGCCCTGCCCACTCTGTTGCCAGATTTGAGAGAAATAGGTCTATGAAAACAAGCCCCAAAGAAGCAACACATACATGATGTTGTGTAATTTGAAACCAAAACTAAGGCCCTCAGGATGACTTTAAGACTTGAACATGGTCATTTTTGTTTTGTAACATTGAATACAAAATAAAAATAAAGTATTTAAAAAAATTTTTAACAAATTTAAAAAATCCCGATTCCCGATTTATTTTTCTCCCAATTCCGATCTTTTGAAAATCACGTGATCGGCTCCGATCCCCGATCACGTGATCGGATCGGGACACCTCTAATTATAACTATGTTTAGTGGTGTTTTTTAGACACCTGTGCATTTCAAATTAAAATGGCAACTTCTTTGCATGCGTTTTGAGTTGTCTTCGGTTGCCTTAGTTGAACTGACACATTCAAATAGCATCATGAAAGGAAAGATGTCACAATATAGAAGACAACAAAGGGAAAGAGGAGAAAGAGTGCGTTCTCACTTTTCAGGAAAAGGACTAGCAAGATAAAGAGCTGAGGTAATGAGGAAGATGATAACGATGAAGAGGTAGGAGAGCAGGAGATAGCAGAAGAAAGAAGACAGGAAGGTAGAGGAGACGGTCTATATCGGGCTGTGTGTTATCCTTAAAGATATGCAAAATAAGTGCTACAGATATAGAAAGAGAGGAGGATGAGGAGAGGAAGAAGTGTGTGAACTGATACACCTTATTTAAAAGTCTGACACATAAACAAGTTGGTAAGAAGAAGAAGAAGAAGAAGAAGAAGGAATTAGACAGTATTTAGAAATACAGGCAAAAGTAATTTAAAGTGAAGCATTCTTTAAAGATACTGCAGAGAAATCTTCAGATTCCAGTGAGATGTGTTTAATAAACTGAGTGTTGGGGGGGGGGGGGGGCGTCTGTGCTTGGTACCCCTGCTGCAGTAATGCTCCGATGTACTGAGAGTAAAGTTTATTTACGGCCAACTTAATTAAACATTATGGTGAACTGATCTGTTCTTGTCTTCCAAGTTGTTGAGGCTGCTTCTCATCATTGACCTGAAAGCACTTCAGACTAAACGTTCCCTCCGGTGTACTTTAGGTGTTTCGCTGAAAATGTCTCATAGTAGTTTTTTAATGATAATAGTTTTGACATTTAATTAGAGAGAAATACAGAAACGTAAACATTTCGTCTGACTGCTGAACTCTTGATTCTCAATCTAAAAAGGCATTATTCTGCTGCTCCTCTCTTCTGGTATCTACTCCTTCAGATGTTGAACCAGGCTGCAGGGATTTGCCCGTTCAGCCACACTGAGGTCAAACACTGATGTTTGGGGATCAGGTCCGGCTTACTGTTGACAATCCAGTTTATCCCCAATGTGTTGGATAAGGTTGAGATCCGCTCTCTGTGCAGGCCAGTCTATTTCTACCACACCAAATTGGGCTTTCCCAAACCTCTACCCTAAAGTTGCTCATATGTTATTGTGCATTACAATTTGAATCGTTTCAAACTCGGTAGCTGAGTCCAAATGAAACAAGATATTCAGGGTGTCCACATATACATCTATAAACTTAAAAGCAACAGTTGGCCATTTTATGTTAAATAAGCTACTTTGCCGGGATTTAGATAAGAACAACGATTCCACTCTGTATGCTAAACAAGAAGCTAACATTAGCTCACAAGCTTATCTTATCAGAAAGATCTCTAAAGCTCACTAATTATGTTGGTTGATCTAATTTGTTCAATTAACACAACCACTCACTGGGAGGAAAATGATATGGTTTACACCAATGAGAGAGAGAGAGAGAGAGAGAGAGAGAGAGAGAGAAAAGTGTGGGAGGTAATTTAAAAAGCCTCCCCTCTACAGGTTGAGACAGGTTAACTGACATTCCAATCTCTCCCTCTCTTTCTCTTTCATTCAAGCAGAGGTAGGGGGTGTGTGTGTGTGTGTGTGTGTGTGTGTGTGTGTGTGTGTGTGTGTGTGTGTGTGTGTATGTGTGTGTGTGTGTGTGTGTGTGTGTGTGTGTGTGTGTGCGTG